GTTTTGGAGGAGCTTGAGTTGTGCGGGCTCGAGGGCCGACATTACTGCCTCTGCCTTAGCGGGCCACATCTGCGCAAACGGCCAGAAGGTTCCGCGCATCTTCTCGCGGACGCCGGGGTTGGGGTCCGCGAGGCCCTTCTTGACGCACTTCTCGACGATGTCGAGGCCGCCGGCGTGTTCGATTGTGCTCTTGTGGTTAGCGAGTTTCTTCAGCAGTGTCTTCAGCCATCCCGCTGCGTAGGTGCGCGGCTGCACATTCTTGTCCTGGCATGCGAGCCAGACGTGCTGGAGGATGCGCTGGTTGTATGACACGTGTAGGATGATGATATCCACCGTCGCATCACCCGCCTGCGACGCGATCTTCTTCGTCCCACCACAGAGCTTAATCAGATTCTGCAACAAAATCTCCACCATCGGATCCAGCCCCGGCCCTGCCGTCCTCGCAATCTCCTGCACCACCGCACACCCCTCCTTCGACAAGCTCGTGCGCAGCGAATTCACGCTCTTCAAAATCCCATCCAGCAGCCCCTTAACACCCACCAGCCACGCGTCGCGGAGATCCGCGGGCGCGTTCCCGGCATTCAGCTTCCGAAGCTTCGAACAGCTCTGCTCGCGCTTCAGCCAGTTGTGCTCGGACTCCTTGCCCTCGAAGAAGGGGTGCATGTCGCGCAGGGTGTCTTCGAGTTCGCGGACTGTGTTGACGTAGGCGGGTTCCACGTGCTCGAGGACGCGCTGCTCGACGACCGGGGTCACGGGGCGGGCGGTGGTGGAGGAGGCGGAAGTGGTGCTCTCGGAGTGGTGGGAGCGGAGGTTGGGGCTTGCGGTGTGTTGGTCGATTGGGTCGGGGTCTGCGCCGGTGGGGCTGAGTTGGCTGGTGATGGCGGAGACGATGGTGGTGCGGACGTTGAATGCTTTGAGTTGTTTCTTGAGGTCGGATTTTGCTGCGTTGGGTGCGTTTCTGTGGCTTGTTAGTGGTTGGGCTGTGAGTGAGTCGGGTGGGCAATACGTACTGGAACAGCTCAATGACTGTGTTCCTGGCACAATCTCTAACCATGCCATCTGCATCTTCGAGGAGCTCCATGAGACTGGGCACAAACGATCTGAACTGTAGTCCGTACTCCTCGTGCATCTGTATGTGTCAGCTGTGTCTTCAAAATCCGCTGTCCCAAAATCTCCGCTGTGACCTATTCACCGAGCACGAAATCCTGTGACCTCCTTAACACCCCCAAAGAAAAGCCAACCTTCCCCAACCCTCCCTCTCACCCCATCACCCCCCAAAACAGCGAAGAAAAATAAC